GTCTAACGGATAAACAATGTTACAGAACTTATATAAATGTAAACCAAATTTATACTTATTATTATAATATCTTTAAAATATCTGATAATTTAATGTGCATATGTCTTATGATCACTTTTGTCCGTCAAATGTTTTTTTTTTCAATTTTTTTTATTGGATCATCGAAACCGCTAAACCTGCCCCCCACAAATTTAAGCAGTTATTTATTCTGTAAATTTTTTTGAATATTATTCGACGCTTTTTTCTCAAAAACTGAATTATCATTTTTGGCATTTTGGCCCGTATTCTCGAAATCGACTTGAATAATTAAAAAATATTAGATTTGTATTGATGGGGAGACGTGCTGATTAGCTTTTGGTACAGACAATTACGAAAAATCGTAATTTGGTTTCGATATTTCTTCTTTGAAACAGCGACGTAGCGCGTTTGCTTTGCAAAAAGTTCATAATTTTCGAAAAATTTCAAAATACAAAAAATGTGTTTTAGAAGTCTTTTTTTTCATTTTTCAATAAAATTTAAAGCTCTTTATAAAATGTAATTTTCAGTACGGGATGTATCAGTAATTTGTCTTAAGGCACAATTCCATGAGTCACTAGTTTAAATTTTTTTTTCGACGCTATAAGCTTGGAAGTGCACAAATACGTCATTTTAAGAGGGCTCGAGAACTGAAGAACATATTTTTCTTAAACTTCCAGCTTGTTTACGGATCTTTATATTAGCAAAATTGTCAAATTTGATAACTTATTAACCAATTTGATAATTTACGTTCGGAGAGGGAGGCAAAGCAAAATAATAAATTTTAGTTATCGTTTATTTCAACCAAAATTTTGCATTGCGATCGTATTATGTTTTGTTAATTATATTTCTTAAAACAAAAAATGTTGTTAAAAAAAGTTGATTATATTGTATAGAATTTTTTTCTCACTATCCAAATTTTGCCGCCCCCCAAAATTTGCCGCCCTGGGCAGTAGCCCCGATTGCCCCTACTGTAAATCCAGCACTGACAATGACGCTCAATTTCTGACAGGATTGTGATTATAGCTTTCTTCAAGTTTTACAGTCGTGGAAACGTAACTAAAACTAGGCAATATATAAATAAGGCCACTGTGTCATTTTGTTCATATATACCATTTTGTCCGTATTTCCTCTATTTTTTAGGATATTTGTTGCAAAGTATTGGTACTTTTCCTAGTTCTTTAGTAAATTGGAAATATGTATTGTAAAGAATGCCGATAAAAATATTAACAGCTGTACACGATCTAACTGAATTCTACCCCCTAATACTGCATTGCAAAACTTGTGATAAAATTTCATATGACGATAAATCATAACGACTATCCAATTATAAATGGTATTGGCCGATATTCACTAGAAACTAATTGATATGGTTATTACGCATAAAATTATTGACTAACATGTTCAAATCTATATTTATTTTTCCTTGTTTCATTTTCTTTATCTTGCTATGATAAACTAAAATGTTGAAAATATTCAACATGCAATTATAAATCGTAAATTAATTTTTGTGCCGACTTTGAGTTGCTAGAAATTATTTCATACGATGAATACGTACATTCTAGAGTCTAACGTTTTTTCCAAAGCTATTGATCAATTCGTGTGTTCAATTAATAAGTGCGGGGCGTAGAAATATATGTACGGAAAAATATATTAACGATCAATCAAATTTTACGGAGACGTAGGCTCGGTATAGTATTTATTGCGGTCTTATTGCGAATTATGATTTTTAATCCACTTTTGTAGCGTTTACGTCAAACATTAACTTAAATTTATCAATACATATTTAATCAACGAAAGATATTTTAATTCAATATACGAAAAATAATAATGACTTTATGACAATTTGTTAGAAAATGTCGTATTCACTCTTTACCTATTCTAGAATTCATTTCGTTTTATTCGTACAGTACGATTTTGTACTCTTACGTTAGAATTAGTAATATTATCCAAATGCTCAAAGTTGTTCAAGCAGTAAGTACCGCTCTTCAAGTAAGCTCTAATTTTACCGCTCAGGATAGAAAATATAAAAAGACATCAGACAACGAATGAAGTATCTGTGAAGTTATATTCTCATATTGTATAATTTTTATCCTTTCACTCCTCCTAATTTGCCTTCGACGACGTCGTGTAGAAGGCACGCTTTTTGCAGAATGGGTCCGATTCAGTTTTTTTCTGTTCAGGATCGTGCTCAGTAGAGTTCTTTCTTCGCCCACTTTTCCCAGGCTTTTTCATTTATTATCTTGGCCCACTTTATTTTCTCAATTTGCCTCCAGCCCCGCAGCTTTCCTTCGAGTTCAAATCTCTGATTCGGACAGATCTATGCTCCAGATATAACACTTTATCAATCTCTTTTGCAAGTCGAGACTTAGTCGTCAGTAGTGTTCATTTCTTCTTGAGCGCCGCCTTGGCGCTTGCGATCCTTGGCCTGATCTCTCGTGCAGTATCTATCTCTGGTCAGAATGCTTACTAAATATTTAAAATGAACAACGTCTTTCAATTCTCGATTTCCTACTGTTATCTTCAGAGGATCATCTCGTTTTGATACTCTCATTACTTTCGATTTGTCGATGTTGATCTCCCTTCCGTATCTTCTGCCCACTTCAACGATTCTGTTCATCATGTTTTGTAGCTCGATTTCGGTTTTCGTATATATATATATAATATATATATATATATATATATATATATATATACACACACACACATATATATATATATTTATATATATTATATATATTAGTTTTTATATATACACATATTAATTTTAAATATACTTTTAAATCAATTATTTTTACCATGTTTAATAAATAAAATGACTATTTTCTTTATATTAAAATTAGTTTATTCTTAAATTTATTTTCAGATTACATACATGCAAACTGAAATACCAAATCAACTAGAAGCAGATCAAAAATGAATTTGCGTAAGCATAGTAGTATGTGCTTACTTCAAATGATGAGAGACAAGGCTCAATAATTATAAAAATACTACTCTCATGTAGTAATTGAACAGCAGCCTTAAACTTGTAAGTATGTACAAATGTCTCAAAACAAAAAATATATCAGCTAATTTGAGTTGGACAATGAGCGGTATCAAAGTTTTAATAAACATGTTGAATTATGTTGGGTAGTTTGCAATATGTTCTTCGTTATTATGCAATGTAGATAAAACCGTTATTATAATTTCAAGAGCAGCCACGCCTGAATGGTCTCTTATGCGGAAATCAAATAGGAGCAACTTAAGAAGCCTTGTAAGAGCTATACAAGATCCAGAAATTTATATTAACATAATTTATACTAAAAAGACAGTAAATAAAGGTTTGCGGGCAAAAAGGTCAACTTTAATTTACTACAACTAAATATAATTCATTTATACGTTCTTTAATTGTTTTATGATACGATTGTTATTAACTTCTTGTAGGGTAGTCATAGTAATGGGCCGAAAATCGAAAATGGAAATTTTTGCATTTCTCGACGTTTTGAAGGTTTCTGAACATTTGGCATACCTGTGAAAACCGGATGTGTGTGTGTTTTGTATGTCCGCATTTTTTTATCTTAGATTCAAGAGATTTTTTATATAAGCTCAAGCTCAACCACATGTTGTTAGGCTGAAAAGTACCAACTAAACCTTTACACTGGCGAAGGTGTAAAAATGAGATAATAGTAAATGAAAAAGTTGCATTACAAAAAATAAATTAAATTAATAGTTATTCCAACTCAATAAAATAATTTATTAGTGTAAATTTTGATTCAAGTTTTTGTGCTCGTTATTTTTAACTTACCGTAGGGTAAGTTATAGTAATCGCAAGAAATCCAAAATAAAAATTGTTATATATCTTTACGTTTCGAAGGTTTCTGAACATTTTGGCATACCTTATAATTAGAAAAAATTGATGTATGTGTGTGTGTGCGCGCGTGTGTGTATGTATGTGCGAATATAATTTTTTGTCGACGATTTCGAAAACACAAAACAACCGATTTTAATGATTCAAAAAACATTCGATTTCTATTGATAAGGAAACGTGTTGATTAGTTCCTGCCAAAAGCAGGTTCAGCCGTTCCGAAGATATGAGACAAAAAGTGTCAACAATGGTAACGCAATTTTTGAGAGAAAAGAGCGTCCAATTTGAATGATTAAAAAAACATTTTATTTGTACTGACAAAATGAATAACTGATTAAATTTTGGGAAGTTAGGTATAGCGCTTTCGGAGATCCAATAAAAAAGTTAAAAAAATGCCATTTGGCGGACAAAAATGGTAATTAGACATATGCACATCAAATTATCAGATAATTTATATATATTTTAATAAGAAGAACAAATTTTGTTTACATTTCTATGGGTTCCGTACCAATGTTTACCCGTTAGACTGCGACGCTGCGCTCACGTGCTTCGATATTTCGTTTCTACACAGCTAATGTATCGCGATTGCTTTGAAAAAAAGTTCAAAAGTTTCAAAATATTTCAAAGTTAAAGAAATTTCAAATTCAAATTTTTCAAAAAGGTCAAATTTATTACAAAAATTCCAAAAATCTATTTTTTTTCAAAGTTCTGAAAAAAGTTTGAATCTTTTTTGAAAAATTTAATTTTTGGTACGGAAAGTTCCAGCAATTTGCTTTAAGGCATCATGCACCACTAGTTATTATTAAAATTGTGTACATAATGAGCATTATGATATGAATACAAACACCGTAGTTAGATATATACTATAATTTTACGTGGTTTCCGAATTAAAATCCAACTATCAACTATCTATCGGAGACCTTCGATTCTCCAGCAGTGACCCCCTCTGCGCGTGTATCGCTGCACGCCGGGCTCGTTCGACAAGAAAATGGTGGCTCGCGCCGCTAAACAGCGCACCGTGCTCCATGATCATTGCCGAGCGTCGCGTTCACAGAGGTGCATCACGCCGCTACGAGAGCGTGCGTTTAACAGAAAAAAAAAAAAATACTTCGCTGACAATGTAACAGTGCATTTAGTGACATTTTATTTAACGAAACATATCAAATAAGGAAATTACATAATCATAAATAAGTGATCAAGTGTTTTGACCATTGTGTTTAAATTTTAGTGCATAAACGGAGAGAAGCAACAACAAACAACAAAACGTAAGTTGTGTGTACAATACATGCACCTGTGTTTTACACTGTACCTGCGCGCGAAGCTGACTCACGTACAAAAACAATCGGTTAACAACTAAAGTTACTCGATTCATAATTACTAAAAAATATCGTAGTCGGTGAATTTTTAATTAAAAAAATACTTTAATTGTTTTTGATTAAATTGCCGCGCCTGATCAGGTGGTTGTTATTCGATTGTTGTCAAAACAAGCAGGTGTGAATGAGAGCAGCTTTGCCAATATGTGTGTGTGCAGTGTGCACTTGTATATAAAGCTATATGCCCGAAATAATTCGCATGTGCTTCCCTATGCACGCGTAAGGTTAAGAATATAGCGATCGATATCATATGGTTGATGTGTAGATTTCAGAGATATCAAAATATTACTGCATCAGAATACTATAAATGAATACAGGAATAGACTGTTCGCATTTATCATTCATTATTTATTGCCTTAGCCTGCGAGATAAAGTACAAATATGTGAATCATTGATAAGTTGTAAGAAATTAATTCAACTAAATTCTTAATAATTTACACATTCATATAGTAGGCCAGCGAAGATGAAATGAATTATGTTTTGACTCTTAAATTTTATGTAAAAATTTAAATTTTACGTAAATGTATTTCATCCCTTTTTTCTGAATCTAATGTATATCACACATGTTTGTGCATAATATATATGTCTTTGCATACGCATAAATAAGTAAATATATATATATATATTATATATATATATATATATATATATACACACATATATATACATATATATATATATATATATATATATATATATACATATAATTTTTTGGAAGAATTTTTTTTTGTCAATCAAAACTTTATTAAAGTTTTATAATAAAAAATTGTTGAGGTTTATAAAAAGCAAAAAATTAAACCTAAATACAAAAATAATAATAAACAGAATATTAACAAAATAAAATTACAAAATATTGAAATAATAATCTTATAACCTAAACTTTGGAAGGATGTAAGTAATATTTGTATTTCAAAGATATTGCACAAATATTATTTTTGTTTTCATTCATGTGTATACTCATTAGTTTGTCAAAATCAACTGTCTTTTGTCTGTAAGACAAAAATAACAATTGTTATTTTACAACAATTTATCTAACAATCACCGAAGCTTATTTCCAATATCACATGTCTTTGAATGTACTTGAGTTCCTTTTTAAAACTTAATAATTATATATATATATATATATATATATATATATATGTATATATATATATATATATATATATATATATATATATATATATCTTTCTTCAACAGGGTGGCAAACAGATCCAATGTCTTCCCATTTTAAAGGGATTATACAAAATAATAACTACATCAGCCAATGCAAAATATAAATTTCATGGGTAGCTTTTTTGCAATAATGACACTTTATATAACCTTGATTATTTATATATTTCGTAAGAAATATTCATCTGCAAAGTTGGAATGACTATTTATTTAATTTATCTCTTGTAAAATTACTTTTTTCAACTTAATTTAAATTTCAACTTAATTTTTTTCAACTTAATTTACTTTTTATTGTTTACATGATCATCAGGGTAATGGTTCGGTTAGTCCTTTTTATCCTACCCACATGTAAGCTTTTATAGATATTGTATAAAAAACCGTTGAATCCAAATTAAAAATAACAATCTTATAAAACAATTAAATAGCATAGACCTATAAATTATATTAAGGTCTCGTAAGCTAAACAACAGTGCTCACAACCAAAAAAAGAGCTAGCAATGAAAGAAAATCTTTTTATTATGTATTTTCAAACATTGCCGTTTATCTTCTGATAGCGACGTCGTAAGAATCAAGGTAATGCCTGTGCATTTATCTTTTGCCTTCCACTTTCAAATATTGTTGTTGAAAAATTTCTAACTTTACTTGTTTTTGAAATATCGGTGGTGGACCTTTTTACCCGGGGAACTTTAAGCTACGCTCTACCTATATATAATATAAGGTTGTCAAATATCTCCCTTCCGCCTTTTTGTATTATAAACCAAGAGCAAAAAAGCGGAAGGAAGATATTTGACAACCTAATATATCGCTCCGGCGACAAAATACATACAAATTTTTGAAATGCCCGAGTGGAAAGGGTTAATTTTTTTTCCTAGCGTAAATTTTAATTATTTTACGATACTTCTACTAGGAACATTGAAAAATAAATACAAATCAATGTATTATTGCTTGGTATAGTAGAGCTTTTTTTCAATAAATGATTTTATTTGAAACAAATGCAATAGATACTATGATCAATTTGTAATAATGCGTTGTAAGAATCAATATGATTATCTAAAGTATCCGTACTTAATAAAGTTCAGAAGAAAATTAATTTCGAAATAAGCATGTGTTAATGGGAGAAGTGCCTTTAGATTAGACTAGACGCCTTAATATCAACTATATTACTTTTCAATTGTGGTCGAACAAACCACATGTGAAAGTAATATTCGTTGTAAATATTACATACGTAGAAATATTTGATAAATATCTGTAATTGACTTTAAGAAACGAGTAGTGCAATAGAATCATATCTAATTGTAAGCGGCTCATAGCCTACGCACAAAACTATACAAAAGCAATTAGTCAAAGCATAACGGCGTTATTTTCTCTCCAAGCGTTAACAATAACGCACTACTGCTAGATCTAGATCAAATGAGAATAAAGCGGTGTATCCAGGAGCCAAATTCAATATGTATTAATTGATTTTTTAGAACACATGACAAACTTTTTGTTGCTTATCTATTATCTGTGGTGTACCATTGCACAAGAAGAGCGTATCGAATTCGTTTATTGAAAGTTACGTACAAATGCGAATTAAAGTACGTTTCTGTGGAATGTTATGACATGTCTTGCAAATTATTCCCGTGGATTTGACGACATTTTACGTTTTAGTTATATTATTGCACATATTTTTTTGAATTGCATCTTATATAGTTTAAAACTGTCTGATGAACACCAAGAACGTTTGTTGGATTTTTTTTTGTTCATTGCATGCTTGGAAGAAATCACAGTATACTCCCTTAATGAGAATAAGAGATATAAGCTTCTCGTGATGGCGTTTCTCTTTTCAATCTGTTGGGATATTTATTAGTGGAAATACGGATAAGATGGCAACTTATGTGGCCTTATTTATAAATTGGCTAGGTTCATTAACGTTTTCGCGACTGTATTGCATGAAGAAAACCATGATAACAATCCTGTCAGATGTTGAGCGTCATTGTCAGAGTCTTGTTGCAGTAATCAGTTCCATCGTGTATTGTGCCTTGAAAAGTTTATTTTGAGGGTGTTTTTCTCATGTTTTCTGTTCTAACCTATTTATAAATAATTGTAATTATTTTAATTAAAATCAATTAACTTATGTCAGTACTAGTGATTTCGATCAATTTTATTGCATTAATCAGGTGGAATTTTGATTGAATACTCATTATTGTTCGATTTTGGACAAAGTGGCACACTTATACAATCAACAAAAGGACATAGTACTATTTCGCAAACATTGCAGGGCCAAGAAAAAAATTAAAACTTGTCAAAAGTGATTGGCTTTTAACTTTTACTCTAAATAAAAAAGAAAAGACTGTGATAATGTCCCAAAAAAGACGAAACGATTTATTTGTTAACTGCTTATTTAAACATTAGCATTTCAGTATGTCCTTAACCTATATGTCATTTTGTCCGTACTAAATGGACAAAATGGTTTTTGTTATAGGTTGCATTTTACCTTAATGAATATGATATTATAGTTCCTACTTAATTAAAATACTATATTACTGGTAGTCAATGAACCAAAGATAATTAAAAGCTATTGAGACTGTTTACAATATTATTAAATAAATAAATACAATTAAAAATCAAAACACCATGTCATTTCGTCCGTACTTTCCTTACTAATATGGAAAAATCCTATAAAAATTTGGAAAAATTATTCAGAGATGTTTTGACCAATGAATTATATTGTTTCATCACGGTTTGATAACTTTAAGTTCCAATTATAAGAAATATTATTGATTTATTATTAAGAATTATTAAGAATAGATTATTGAGCATTCGTTTTTATAGTAAACATACTGAAGCACGAATATTTAGATTTCAATTTTAACACGAAGTATTGATTATTTTTTGTTTGACAAAACCTTTCAACGGCAATTATAACTTGTTCTTTAGATACACTTGTATTATGAATTTAGCAGGATCATGGGTACGTGGGCCAACTGGCAATAAGAGTATGAATACTGTAATAAATGATGTTAATGTAACAGTTATTAGTAAATCATAACGATCCAAAATATAACATGTAATTCGTGTATTATGCGCATACCTCATACATTATTCATAATAACTAACAAAGGCGCGCCGAGCGTTTCAAATGATTCAGATACAACACATTTCAGCATTGGACATGAAACCAGCAAAACAAAGCAGGTGGAACATCTTCAATATTCCGTATACTAAAAAATTTGAAGTTTCTTATTTAGGCGAATTATTAAGGTAGAGTGGGGATTAAAAGTCCACGGGCAAAAAGGTCCACCACAGCAAAGTTAAGAATTTTTTAACAACAATATTTGCAGGTGGAGGGAAAAAATGTATAACCAGTCATTGCCTTGATTCTTACGTCGTTGCTATTGGGAGAAAAACGGCAATTTTGAAATCAATAAACAAGTATTTTGTTTTGTTGTTAGTTTCCGTGTTGTGAGTACCGTTGTTTAGTTTAGAAAACCTTAATATAATTTTTAGATATACGTTATGTCATTGTTAACCTCTGTAAGATCAACTGAAAGGTGTGAAAATAAAAAAAGCAAATGCAAAAGTAAAATAAGTTAAAAAAGCTATTATACAAGAAATAAATTAAATAATAGTTACTCTTACTCTGTTGGTGAATATGATTAACGAAACACCAGATCAAGGATATTTCAATGATATCTCTGTAAAAAAATGCATCCATGAAATTTATGTTTTGCATTGGTTAA